AAAGATTTTTAAAAAGTGTTACTTGCCTTTGATAATAACCTTGGTGTAAGTGGAAAGATCAACACAAAACAAATTACAAGGAACTAATTGATTACTTTGAGAAATCAAATTGCCAATAGTAAGTAGTCATACCATGAAAAACCTCATGAATACCGAGTTTTTTCTTTCTTATTCTTCTGCCTATATCAACAGGAGACCCAGAACTTGAATAGTAATGAGTTCTTTTTGAAAAGTATACACATCCTGTTAGATACAGTTTCTTTGGGCTGCTATTTTTCCTGCTTCTATTTACCATTTCCTCCTTTGGTTTGATTTTTTGCTTTGCTAGTAAGTGGTAGAATTTATTTTCAAGTCACTAGTCTATATCCAATCATTTCCTAACTACACCAGAATTTTGCCTTATACAAGTCTTGCTGCAGAGATTTTAAAATTACTTTTTGTTTTCAGTAGATTTCCAACCAGTCAATTTCATTTTTTCCCACCAATATCAATGCTATTGGCATGACTTTTCTGCATTTCTTCCCACATCCCTTCATTTCTTTACAATACATTTTCTTCAAGAATATTTTCTTAACTCCCTGCCAACTCCTCGAACAAATGAAAGAAAAAAATTTCCTTTCATTTACACTTACAATGCGAATAATTTGTGCCAAATTAATCAGCCTTATCATGAATATATTCAAGATTTTATGTTCTTTACCTAATTGTGAAAAAAATCGCATGTTAAATATAATTGCCTTTGTTTCATGTCTGCTAGTCTGCTGTGGTTTCACAGACTTGTCTAGTGAAACAAAAGATCATCAGACACAGGCGCCTTTGCCCTTTTCTGTCATCAGAAGTCATTTCAAACAAAAATTTGAAAAGAAATGACTTCTTGACCTTTATTTAAGAAATGCATTATATTATATGTGGAAAAATATTTTAAAGCATTCTTGGTACTTAGTTATTAAATTTATTTGAACAAGTCAGAGCAAAATTTAGTGTGTAGACTATGCTCTGTGGATTTAGGAATTTTTTTAAAGGTTTCTTTATTATTTCTCTGTGGTAACAAGCTTTAGCAAAAGTTTTCTGAAGGTTTCTAAAATGTCTTCCATAAAACCACAGCCTGAACAGAGCAAATCCTACACTAGTGTTAAAGACTACACTATTGACCAGCAATGTCTTAACTTGTTATCTGCTTCTGCTTAGATTCACTTGGCACTTTTCCAAACATAATCACCCTGCTTGGTCTCATTCAAGGATAGCAAGCCTAGTCTGTGAAAGTCCAAATAGTAAATATTTTAGGGTTTTGTGATAGGGTTGCATCATATTCTTTTCTATTTATTTATTTATTTATTTTTGGTACAGAGTATCGAACTCACAAACTAGTGCTTACAAGTGCTTATGCTACTGAGCTAAATCCCTGGCTCATATTCTTATTTATCACATTTTAAAAATAACTTTTAAAAATGTAAAAAAGTCATTCTTAATTCAAGAGGCGTACAAAACAAGACACAAAGCTTAATGGATCAGCCCCAGATACAGTCATTAGATACAGATGTGAAACCCATAGGAAAGGGGGAAATTAATTTGGGTACTTAATTCATCAAATTGAGTAACAACTCCCTGACTAAAAGATTAGCAAGTTAAAAAACCATACATGTTGACATATTTTTTTATCTTCCTCATATACTTATATTTTTCTTGATACCTAGATTTTTTATTTTTCTAAAAGGAAAAAAAAAAGGAAGGAAGGCAGACTTAGAGCAGAAGTTAAAAGGAGATCAGAGAGAAAAGGAGAGGAAAAAAAGAAAAGGCTATGAAAGAGCAAAAAAAAAAAAGCAAAAGTGGAAATAAAAGAAAAAAGTAAAATATAAGAAGTAAAAGGGAAGAGAGAAAGCATACAAATGACAGGTAGAAAAACAGAATGGGGAGTCAGAATGTGGAAGCTTGCAACAGTCTCTCCTTTTCCTTAGAGCCAGCAAGCTCTTAGAGGCAACTCCCAAGCTACTTTCAAATCCTGAGGTTGTTGCCCAGTCACTGATCACCATCCCAAAAAGTGAAATGTGGGCTCCACATCTGAAAACTTCCACTTGGTTTTCCACCAAGTGAAATGGAGCACAAGATTCTGGGCCTAAGCAAATTGCTTATGTTTTCTTTGGGACACTTAGGCTGTGTCTACCCAGGGAAAATTTTGATGTACTAACTGACTGCAGTGCATATGATTAATGTATATGCAGGGCAAACCAGGATAATTTAGAACATTTTTTCTTCCACAGCAGGCTTTCAGCTGGAATTGCCTGGATGATTGCCTCAGCTCTCCACGAGGCTTTGCCAGGAATAAGCACACGCAGTGTAGTATGCAGGAGACAGGGACCACCTCTCTCTCCAAGGTTCTCTTCAATACCCGCAACTTGTGCAGCTAAGAATAGTGGGATCTGTCCTGACAGGCATTCCTTTTGAGGGCAAATGTAATTTCTGTCTAAGAAGTTTCTAAGCATCTCTAACAATCTTAATTTTATATTCTGCTTAGCTATCAAAAGGCAGATATAATATGTGGATGAAGCAGTAAAACTGTACTAATAGGAAAAAATATACACTACACTGTTCTCTTCCCCATCATAGAAGGAGGTTAGCAGAGCCAAATTCTGTCATGGGTTAGTCATTAACTGAAGATATTTCTGTTGTAACTTTTAGGTGGCTGTAGACATGTGTAGACACAGCTTTTTATTTTAAAAATGTAGTTAAAGTGTGAATTTAGATTTTATGCCAACACATAGAAATTGTGTTGTTCTTAGAGGTATATTTTATGTGTCTTCTGAAAAGGTTTGTACAGAAATATTGTTTTTAAATTAAATTATAATCTGCAATTAATGAAGTAAGAGTACTAGTTAGTGTAATCCATTGGTAAATTATTTGGTAAAGAATATTTACATAAAGTTAACAGTTCTCATAATTCACCTAGTAAAATGGTATTCTTGTGGACTTCTGCACTTATACCATGATTCTGAGCATGGGATTTGTTTTGTTTTGGAGGAAAGGTAAAATAATGTGAAAGATGCATGATAGTTTATTTTACTATATCTTACAGATCCAACTTCTAATGATGAAGCTTCCCACATAACTTCTTTCTTTTTGGGAGCAGAAAGAAAGGAAGAAAATGAAGAGTCTTCCAATCTATTGAAACTTTCTACTTTTCCTTCCGTTCTCTTTCAACAGTTCTCTAAGTGATAATTACAGAGTGATAAACTTCCACATTGCTTTTTGTGTGGTTATTTTTTCTCTGTCAGTGTGTGTTGTTTTGTTTCTTCAGATCTCATTGCTAATGATTTCCCCTTGAGTACATAATCTCTGAAATAAAACAGGGTTCCATCATGACCAAGGAACTAACTGTCTTATCCCCTCAGATACAGTGTTGAAACTGCTGCATGAGAAAGTCTTGTAATGTATTAAGTTAAAACTAAAAAAGCCTAAAGTATAAGTTGTTAAATGGGCAATTCTATGTGTATCTCTTTAAAACAATTTTTGTTTATCTGGATGGTGTGTGGAAAGTTTGTTTACTTTCACTTGTGAAAGTTTTCATTTTCTTGTTGTTGTTGCTTTTGTTTTGTTTTACTTTTTGTTGCCTAGCGTTAGAAATAAAGACCTGGAAAAGAGAGATCATCTGTAAAATATGTATCTGTGAAACAATTTCTCTTTTCTAATGGTTTGTACTGGGGTGTGTGCTGTGCCGACACTGTATCCTGAATGTGACTTCCTGAAAAGCAGTCTGTAACCCTGGGCATATTTGCAGTGACAAAAGTTGGCTTTGCTTCTGTAAGCACTGCTTCTGCTAGAGGGCACTGTACTTTAGACAAGGTCTTGTGCTCTGCTTAGTAAAGATAGCTTTCTGGTGCAGCGTCTGTGTCCAAGTCTCCATTTGTTAACACATGTGTACATTTCCTCTTTTGGCAGATAAGACTTGGGAATCATGATTGCAAAAGGATTATTCCATGGGATAAACAAACCTAGGGTTAGTTGAGTGTTTTTCTACCGTGAAAAAAGTCATAACATATTTACTTCACTTTCAGAATTGCTGCACAATACAAGGCAGACTTACTTCTTAATTGTTTGACTCTGTCTCTTCATCATTTATTCCACACCATTCCCCAACTCCAAATCTACACTTCAGTTTTCTTGGAAACAAAAAGCAGCTGGTTCAAGTTAAACTCATGGGCATACACTATTTCCCTATCTCTGGATTTGAAGGGCAAAAGAATCTAAAATTGCAAATGAGAAGATATTCTGAAAAGCAGGCTATTATTCCAAAAGAGTTTTTCCACCATCTCTGCATCACAAGTGGTTTGTGCATATAGATTTTCTACTTGTTTAGTAGTTTAAAATGAGAGGCAATATACAGTTATTATTTGTCAATTAAAATGAATAATAAACAATTATTATTTGTCAAGTAAAATCTATAATATTAATAAAAAGAAAGAAAACAGGGAAGAAAAGCAAGCAAAATCCAGAAGTACAGTAACCCCACAATTATTAGAATGATTCAGATCTCTTTTCATTGACTCATTGATTGCTTGGTTACTTAGAGTGTTATCCTGGAAGCCTGCCTAGAACTAAGTTATTAAATAAATAAAAGTCACTGAAATATACCTATGCTCTGAAAAAAGCAGAATTTGTGTTGGCCTATAGAACACTGTAAGTAATGTGGGGTTGGGGATTTAGCTCAACAGCATAAGCACCTGCCTTGTAAGCAGGAAGTCGTGGGTTCAACCCCCGGTACTCATAAAAAAGGAAAAAGACAAAAAAAAAAAAAAAAAAAAAAAAAAAAGGAGATAAAATAACAATTTAAGCAGTTTTTTAAATTTAATTTTATAAATGGGCTTTCTTAATGTGCAATACAAGAAAAGAAAATGGCACAGATTTTAAAGAAACACTGAATATTTGTTATACTAGAGTGAAAACCTGGTTCTATAAAGACTGGCAATGTCTTTGTTTTACTCTTTCTCTCTTTCTGTGATTTGTAGCATACATTGAAGATCTCACAAGATGTATTGAGCAAAGCAGAAGACTTATTATCCTGCTAACTCCAGGATATATTCTCAGACGGGGATGGAGTATTTTTGAGCTGGAAAGCAAACTTCATAACATGCTAGTCAGTGGAGAAATCAAAGTAATTTTTATTGAGTGTACAGAGTTAAAAGGAAACCTGAATTTCCAGGAAGTAGAATCACTAAAGCGCAGCATCAAACTTCTGTCTCTCGTCAAGTGGAAGGGACCCCAAAGCAGCAAATTAAATTCTAAGTTTTGGAAGCAGTTAGTATATGAAATGCCCATCAAGAAAAAAGAAATGCTATCACGGCGTCATGTTCTGGACTCTGCAGAACAAGGACTTTTTGGAGAACTCCAGCCTGTACCTTCAATTACCATGACCAGTACCTCTGCTACTCTCGTGCCATCTCAAGCTGATCTCCCAGATTTCCACCATTCAGATTCAGTGCAAATGAGACACTGCTGTCGAGGTTATAATCATGAAATGCCAACAAGCACCTTGCAATTACCTTCTTTAGGCAACCACCACACTTATTGTAACTTGCCTATGGCACTACTCAATGGACAACAGCCGCTAAATAATGCCCTGAAAGATAATCAGGAATTTCCTAAGAACAGTTCCCTGCTACCTTTGTCATCCAAAGAGCTTAGTTTCACCAGTGACATTTGGTAGTGAAGAAACTGAATTCCTTTGAACAGTTATATGAGCACACAGAATTTCGGCTACACCAAGCGAAAAGTATGCCCAGTAACACTGAAGTACTGAGAAAGTGAAAAAAGGTACAGGAATTGCTTTTGTACTTAAATGTTTTTTTTTGTTTGTTTGTTTGTTTTCATTTGCAAAATAGTGAGTGAGGAGCAAAGGACATACTTTTGTAGTGTGACACTTTTTTCCGATGTACAGTCTTGATTTCCTCCAGCAGAAGAAAATTTTAACATTGTGTTGGGTTTTAGAAGATTTCATGATACTACATGGACTGCAACCATATTTGGTGAAGTGTGTTCCCCATATTGATGACTATTTCTGGTATTTGAAATGAGAAAATTAAAACTTAGGGGAATTTGGAAATCTGAACTAAGTTAAAGGGGAAAGAAAATGTCTAGAGAGTAACTGAAGAGTCAGGAATTTTAAAGAAACAATGTTGAGGGACTCCAGCTGGAAGATTATTTGTAAAAGATGAGTTAAGAAAAAAATATGATTGAAATGTTTAGAACTTCTTCAACGTAATGGACAGCTTCTGTGGACTAATTAGTAATAGCAGCTTTTAGATTATTAAGTAAACGCATCTTCTGTAGGCAACCTGGCGGATAGCTAATCAATGTGCATTTCTTAAGCAAATGAATAGATAGGCTGTGAACTCCTTTAGGAGAGTTTTGAGCAACCCTTATGACTTTCTGGTTTATTGCAAAAGTTTCAAAACTTTGAAAATACATTTTAAAGTGCACATTCTATTATATTCTAACTCACATTTGGATGTCTTTTTCTACCCCCAAATAATCCTTGACTGACTATAGGCAGATGTGGACATTTTCTTACTTGTATTTCAGCATCACTGAAGTTCGGATTTAAATATATACTGACTGCAACTTTCAGCAATTGAAAAGAAGTAATACAACAGTACTCATCGATGAAGTGCTTAAGTGATTCAAATTTACTAGTGGTAGAGCAGCAAATGCAGGGATTCTCAACATAATGTAATTGTGAAATGCACTGTTCTGTACATACACACCATATGCTTATCCATGTGTACAAGGATCCAGAACAAATGCATATATATACTGATATTTCAAGAAACATATTTGACAAACTAGACTTGTTCACCCTCAAATAATAACGAGTGTGACTGAACTATATCAGAAAAATCTCTGTGTATAATATATTTCCTGTTTACTATGAGTGTACCCCCGTTCTAGTACTTGTTGTGAATAATAATATATTCTTTCCAATTTATCAAATTTGGTGTGCTCTTCACCTAGATGCCTATTGGAGTCAATTGTTTATCAAGATTGATTTGGGAACTTGCAAATGGTTTGTAAATCAAGTTTGTGGACAAATATAAGCAACGACAAATATATACAATGTATACAAATTAAGAATTCTCCCAACTCTTGTAAATTGTGAACTCAAATGTATAAAAGAGTATTAGATAATATGTGTTATTTCTCTTAACCTCTTCCCACTATTTATTCTCTGTGATCCATGAGTTATATTCAAAGTACTTGTTTCTCTCTTGCTTTCCTCCATCCAACTCTTCAGAAAATATAGTATATGCCAACAATATGTGGAAACTTAGCTGTGATATATATGTTCATTTCACAATGGGACAATTAGTTGCTTATTTGCAAAATGCTGTTCAACATATGTAGTGTTTCATAGATACTATTTTTCCATGGAGAAATAAGATTTTGCTTTTGTAAAAATGGCAGGTATTTAAAAATGAAAATCCACCAATGCCTAATTGTTTTCCAAGTGTTGTAAAGTTGTATGTACTCTGTATGTATAATTACTAAGTTAATAATTTGCATGAAATGAGTAGTACATGTTTCAGTGACCAATTGTGCTTTTTACTATTTTTTCACAGAAATTTAGGTTAATTCAAATAATGTTTAGTAGTATTTTTAAACTAATAGTTCTGTATTAAGCATGCCAGTTCTGAAAATATAACATGGGTCTCTCTGCTTCTTTTATTTATAATGATTAAACGTGGGTAGCAATTTGAGTTGGCTGGCCACAATGTATCCTTTCACTACTAGTAGGTGCTCAAAGACAGAGCATTCACACTTGTGCTGGGGAACTTGACAAGTAATCTTTTTTACAATTTTCAGGAACTAGTGTGTATGCTATCTGTGACATTTATTTCTAGGTGGCAATTTTAGAGTTTCATTTTCGTGTGATAATTTTAAGATATAGAGCATAAACATATTAGAAGTATTAGGTCAAGAATATAAGGTATTCTTCCAGTTGGTTTTTCAGTGTAAATATTTTTTTTCTTTTCAACTTTTCACTGAAATGGATTTTGGAAATCTAGAAAAAACGCTGATATAGCTAGTTCTCACACAAGTATAAACATTTGTCATTGTGTTACTGTATGTAAGCATATATTTAATAGTGAACTTTGTAAGGTGAAGCATTTTGAAAGAATAAGAAATTATGACATAATTGAGAAGTTTATAAAATCAAAATAATACAAAAGAAATGGAAACTATCATGAGAACAAATCATAAGAAGATGGACAACTTGTACATGGGCTTCATTTGACAAACTATGTTCCCCTTCCCTTCGGTACAGGTATTGAACTCACGACTGCCTGCTTGCAAGGCAGGCGCTTATGCCGCTGAGGTAAATCCCCAGCCCCTGACAAACTATGAATTCTGGCAAAATTAATCATGTAATGCACTTCAGTCTAATCATAGATACTCTGAAATGTAGCTATATGCTTCCTAACAAAATGATGCTCCTCCATGCTTTATGCATTAGTTAAATTAGATCCAAATCTATTCTATTTTACAATTCAAAACTATAAGTGCAGAGACACTTTTATTCATTTTGTAAGTCTTGAACACAAGTCAGTATTATGGGAAAGGTGAATATTTTGGTTGAGGATGAATCATTAAAATTGTGGGGCTTACAGGAGGAACCCAGGTACAATGAGAAGTAGAAGTAGAGTTCATTTATGACTTTACAGCATAGTTCAAAAGATATTAAATGAGTAGTATCCTAAACATTAGTTCTGCAAAGGGCAAATGTGAGAAAAAAATTCTGCCATGAAAGGGAAGGAGATGCTAATTACTCATGTGACATTTGAAGGATTCTCAAGAATATGGAGCCACTGGTTTTAAAACATTTATTGTGTTTTATATTTTATTTTAAAATAAATGATTCACCTTTTACAAAGTATTCTCTAGAATGACCAAAGAAACGTCCTAAATTCTTGCACCTGCAATTCTTTACCCCCCTTGCATTCATTTGCCAGTGTGAGGTAATAAATTGATAAAGCCAGACTAAAGAGAGAAAATACTTCCATAGTGAATACTTGCAATTGTTGTTGCTTTTTGGGGGAGAGCAAATGTAACATTGAGAATTGTATGGCTCCAATTTCTCCATTACTCATGCATTTGTTTTCTAAAATGTCTGATAAGAGATTACAGTTTTGAGAATTAGGGCTCTCTGATGAATGTATGGGGGTAGTTTAATAAAATGTAATCATTCACTTTAATTATTTTCATATCAAGCTTGCCTGTTTTAAGAACTGAAATCAGCCACAATCCATTTATCAAGGTTATTTAGTGCTCCACTAACATGAAATTAGAACATATAAAGTCACTTATACCCACCAAAGGTGTTTTACCAAATTTTCACTACTATTTTCTCAATTGTATCTTTTATAGATATGGTGGTGAAGTCAAACATGAGTATTTACTGAGTGTCTACGGTGTACTGTTCAGTTCACAAAATATAATAGAAATGCTTAAAATTAAAACAAATGATCAAATAATTTACACATCATATGTTAGAAGAAAGGAGTATTCACAAAACACAGTCCAGTGGTACAAAAAGTAATATTGAACACATAGTGTAGAAAAACAAGGTTGGGCAACTGAGATTTGAGTTGGCAAGAAATGTTTGGAACACAGAAAACAGTTGCAAATAATAACAATTTCCCAAATGTGGAGACTCGCACATGGGAATACACATGAAGCAAATTCTATTTAGCTGAAAGCAAGTACATTTAGCTGGCAAATGCAGAAATCTGTGTGAAGACATCACAAGAAATAAGTCAAGGAGAAGTGCTGGAGCATTCATTTGAGAGCAGATGTGAGAAGAATTAGGTAAAGGATGAGAACAGAGGCAGGGACATCATCCAGGAGTTCAATAGTTCGATAGGTTAAGTGTGAGATAATGTAATCCTCTCACAATAAAACAAAACTGGTGGATCTGTGGAGGAAGATATAAAAAGGTAAACGATGGCACAAATTTAAAACACAAAAGAAAACAATATTAATAAAAGCTTCAGAGTTCAAAATTTCAGTTGTAGCAAAGGAGTTATGGGGTGTGTTTAACCTATTTTAAACAAGCATCCTTGTACTGTCCGAAAATGAATATTATACAACATATTTGCTACTGAAGCATCCCATGAAGTATTTGCAGAAGAGTAATGTGAGGTGCTTCTGCAATGTGGTTTAGAAATAAATAATTACTTTCACTGCTGATTATAATCTCAAATTCATAAAGAAGAAAATATTGGAGAAAATAATTGTGTTCTTAAAAATGAAGACATTGAAGTTATTGAATCAGAGTGAGGCAAACTTTAAAAGAAATGAATTGGGATTATTTGTAATAACTTATAAAATTCAACAGGTAGACAGGGTCCCCACAGAACAACAGAGGATATGCTAAAATGTGTCAGAGTTATAGAAGGCAGTGCAGAGGGTTTTCTTGAGAAGAATAAGGAAAACAATGTGAAACTTGGTGAGGCTGACATCCAATTTTCACCAAACTTGAAACTGAAGTGATTGACTAATTACCTTTTTTAAGATTTTGAAGCAAATTCTGTACAGGCCATTGAACTAGGACATGAACATTTTGTTAGTGATACCCCCTGCAAATATTTCCATTTTAACACAACAAAAATATTGCTTACACATATAACAATCTAATGAGAATTGGGTAGGATTACAAGCTGAGATATTCAGAGACAAGCTCTATTTGTTTTGGTTTTGGTTTTGTTTTGTTTTTCTTTTCTCTATACCCAAGGGAACCTCTTCATTCACCTACTAGACAGGTTAAGAAAGAGAAGATGAAAGTTGGAATAAGATGTCTCATATTCCAAAATGGGACAATTTAGTCAGGTAGGGAATGTATACAGTTTTAACAAGAAGGAAAGGAAAATGGAATTTAACAAGTGTAGTCTCTATTACTAAAATGGTGAAAATTTGTTTTTCCCATAAAACCAGAATATAAGGTAAAATATAGACAGGAAACAAAATACAGAAAAGAGAGTCCTTATCATTTTTGGTATTCTCTGAGCACCAGTATTATAGCTGGTCACAAGTAAGTGCTCATTTGCATTTGTTGACTAAATGGACAAGTACAGATGGATGCATCAGTGAAGTTTCAATCCCTAGAGCCTTACAGAAATATAATTTGGGTGGAGTGTGGTGACACAATCTTATAATTGCAGTTTCTTGGGAGGCTGAGACAGGAAATTACAAACTCCAGGTCAATTACTCAGTAAGGACATAATAGATACAGATGGATAGATAGATGGATAGATAGATATGTAGATAGAAGATAGATGATAGATTAGACAGGTAGATGACAGATACATATAAACACATATAGAAAGAAGATAATTTTTCACTTGCTTCTTTTGACAAGAAATTTTATTATTTGGTTGCTTTGCATTTGTGTAAGGAAGATGGCCATAGTAATGTTTATCATCCAATGTAGCATTTGCAAAGAGAAGCAAAATTTTTCGCAATGAATTTGTTTGCAAACCTAAATGTTGCAAACAGTAGTATGTAACCAAGATGTTACTGTGTCTTTTCAGGTGCTAGACATTTAGAATTCTATGTCAATTTGCTAGAGATCAAAAATTTCTGAAGATTCTTCCAGTTATACAAATCCTTCCTCAGAGTCTTTGATTCTTTAGTCCTATGATATCACCCAAACATAGTCATCACTCCAAGAACATCATCCTTTTTTCATTATATGCGAATTTAGTGACAACAAAAATTTTATTTGTCTTTTGAAGAGGGTGTTTTATGCCTATGATTATTATATTGGGTGGAAACTATGAATTACTTTATGTTACTTTATGGGCACAAGTGTTCTCTAGTAGCAGTTTCACCTATGAACTTAGAATACAGAAGTGTCCAAGATTTTGTGCTCTTCTGATATATTTTCTAGGTCATTGATACACTGAATCCTCAACCTTCTTCATACAGGGGATGTGAGAAATTGCCTAGAAAAAAAAAAATAAGGTCATCCATTTTATCTGAGGCAAATTCCTTAGTCCTTCTCTGGGTTCATTTCTTCAGTTTCAAAATAAGGATAAAATAAGATATATAGATTTATAGTGAACATTTGTTAGTGAATGTTGACAAAGCACTTAGAGTAATGTTTGGCACCAAATAAGAGCTATATGAGTGACCGTTATTATTATTGTCTTACATAAAAATGACTCAACTGACACACCATCTATGAGAAATACAATTTTATTTTACATTTGTTTCAGAGGTGACTGCATATATGACCAAGTGCACTCATTTTTTAGACAGCTGGCTGAAGTATGAGGTGCATTCCGTGGTCATGGAATAGATCAGCGCTAAATGACCCATACAAGAAATAAGCCTACAGTAACTTTGACCTCATTAGTAATGCGTTCTGAACTAGATACAAAACAGGACTCTCAGAACATAGATTATTCAGATTTGCTGTCCATGTTAATCAAAGTCCCCAGACAATTGCTTGATATTCTGCTTCACTTTTGCTAGGTTTACGCAAGACCAAAACATCTGGATGAGAAGTGAAAAAATGCAGATGTTTAAGCCTCATAATGGGAAACGTCCAGCTGTCTGAAATTTGGATTTGTCATTTTGTTCTTTATTTTAAAAGAAAGAGAAGCCAAAAGAAACAAAGCAAAACAAAACAAAAATCTACCATAGACTGTCTTCTTTTAATCTTTTAAAATCAAGCTGGATTTTTGTTATAGAAATTTAAAATGCCCCAAATATGATTAAGAAATTTTATAATAGTAATAATTCACAAGCTTTCCTTCAGTAAGAGATTTTTTGAGAAGATATTTAATCTATGAGTAGCAGTGTTTTTTAAAAATTTTTTTTCTGAGACAAATTCTAGCTATGTAATTTATCCTGGTCTAAAACTCAGTGTGTAGCCCAGGATGCCCTGCAACTCACAGCTATCCTCCTGCTCCAGCCTCCCAAGTCCTGGCTTACAGCAGTGTGTTGCAATGCCCAACTAAGGATTTTTTGTTTATTTTGTTTTATCTTTGTGGTTGTTTTGTCCCACCCCACCCCCTTTTTCATGAGAATTTTCTCAAAAGTTCTCCCATCAATATCCTCAAATAATCTTAACTAAGTTAAATCATATTTTTCCTAGTGAATTGCCAAGTCTAGCCTTTATGATTCCACCAAACCCGTCTATTAGGAAAATAAATATGTTTACTAAGTAACACATTAGTAAGTATTTATTTATGCAATTTTAGATCTAGATGGTGACTTGAAGGCATTCTAATATATTTCAATCATTTAATTTTATTGTGGGAAACCTAAGTGACTTGCTCAAGTGACATGTACCATGGAAGCCTACAACTATGAAGCAACTGATGGGTAAGTTTTGATAAAGATAGAAGGAGAAAGAGATTGAAAGTAGGAAGGATCAGGATTTCATAAAGCTTCTGTGCCCATGTGGAATGGTAAAAAATATGCCGAAGATATGAGTGGGAGTTAGGTGAGCAATAAGCAGAAAACTCATAGGAACTACAAGATAACTAAGCTTCCCTTAGGACTAATTGTGTAAATATATACAACAATAACTAACACAAATATCAGTCTTGTATGTAATGGTGGTTGGGAATAAGATCACCTCATTTGGCCAGTGAAGATAAAAAGTTTAGTTTTTCACAAAGTCTTACATAAGGTGCCAAAGAACTAAGCTCAAGTTTGGGGAATTTGTTTTGAATATCAACTAGTGCTCAATTACACAAGCACATGGTAAGCAAAACTACCTTCAGATCAAAGTGAATCTTTCCAAGTTGCTAGTGCTATTTTGGGCAATATGTGTGGAGAAAATACAAATCAACTGTTGTCAAATGCTTCAAAGGTCATGGAAAAAATAAATGAGAAAAATTTGCTGTATGTATGAGTTTGTCCCATACAAAATGCAAACAGAAATTTCTTTTCTAAGTTGCCTGATCTTCAAAGCCCCTCCATACAACAAAGAGAATCCTTAGTTACAGTGTGTCCTTATTTGTGTATTAGGACCAAAATCCATACAATGTTCAGTGCTTATGATTATTATGTAATGGTCATTTCTTTTGATAAAGTAAAAATATGACTGGAAATAAAAATATGTGCATTAGAGAGAAACATAGAATAAAGCTATATAATTCAGAGCTCAACCATTTCACCATACCCAACCATTTATCACTTCAATTTCAAAACAGTAATCCTGCCAGTGGAAACAGAAAACAAGTTGTCAGCAGTTTTCCTCAAGCATGGTGGAACCACAAAGCCAGAGACCAGGCAGTAAAATGTGTTTAAAAGCTCAATGTTTCAAGACAAACCAGATTATTATGGGAAACATACTGTAAACTACTCATCTAATTTATTTTGCACTCATGCCAATTCATATGAAATTAACTTTATTGGTTTGAAAGATTACTTTTTCTCCTTCCTGTCTTATAATATGAGCAAAGCCAGTTTTGAACCTTGTTGTGGAGGATGAGGTTCATTGATATTACTCTTTGCTTTTCAATTCCAGCCACAACCCAAGGCTGATTAAAAGCAGTAAAGCCAAGGCTTGACAGTATTCCTTCTTTCATGGAAACTTTTTGAACTTTTTTTTCTACATCTCCACTGCTGGCTTCTTTTACTCTTGGAGAGCATCTAATCCTCTTACATTAAATATGGAGAAAACAATTTATAAATTTTGTTCCTTATCCAACATTTAAAAATTTAGCTGCAGAACTAAAACTAGAGTCCAAAATTCTTGATTAACTATATTATTTCTGTTATCCTAATCATGCTATTGACAATTCATAGAAGGAATCATAGAATGGGTATTCATTCACTCATTTTCCTTTCGTGGTACAGGGTAAAAATGACTTACGAATGCATGAAATGAAATCCTTTCCAACATCTTTATGTCACATAAGTCCATCTGGTGAGATCTAAGATACACTATATACACAAGACGATTAGAATCAATGTTGAAATTTCTTCCCCTATAGCCACTGCCACTACCTACAGAAGAGAAAATATGTGTCTGTACTATGTGAGTTTAACTCATTCTTAAGCTTAGCCTGCTTAGCCGGTGTAAGTTGCAGATGTTTTCTACATATCGTAAGACATTATTTGAATTTACTATACTGCTTGTGATGAACATTTGGACATTAGAGGTTCTATCTGCACCATCTATAAAGCCAGACTGCTTACATTCAAATTCCTGATTTGAATTTACTGGCTATTTCTATTTGGCAAATTACTTAAACTCTCTCTGCCTCAGTTTCCTCAATACTAAAAATAGTAATGAAGAAAAGAATGCTAACAATAGTGTCTACTAGGGCTGTAGGGAAAATTAAATGGGTATATAAAGTGCTTAGAAAAGAATTTCATACACAGAGTAAGTGCTGTAAAAATGTTAGCCATTCTTATATTTTCTTCTCTGATGTATAGGGGAAAATTTAGCAGATTAATGCCCAACAATGAGCACTATGGAAGCTGTTTTAAAGGATTTTAACTGCAAAATATATTCTAGGAAGGGTGTTGTTAATTACTAGTCATGTCTATTCATTAAAGCTAGCCAAGCATGTCCCTTCCTTTAAAAGTCGTAATCTTTATTTCAGTTTCTATTTTTATATCAAATATCATTCTTTTTTGAAGTATAATATAGCCAGGTGTTGTGGAAAATGCCTGTAATCCCAAAAATTGGAAGGCTGAGACAGGATTGCTGTGAAATGCAGGCCAGCCTGGGTTATATAGTGATTTCAGCCTGAACTACAGAGCAAGACACTGTCTAAAAAACAAAACAAAACAAAACAATGTACAATGTGATTTAGAACTTTCACTAATTCAAGAAATAGGTCCTCTGCCTAGTGAGAATCAATGAGTTGTGACTGTACCTCATAACTCACTTCTGTCCTCAAATAAAAGTAACCTTAGGCTTTTTTTAGAAAGTAGTTTTTCAACATGCCAACCTCCCTGAATTTTCCACTCATGAAGATTGCAATAATTTGAAAGTCCAAAATAATACAGAGAAAGTTCATTAGGTCAGTAAGCTGTTGCACAGTTGTGACTTTTAAGCAATCACAATTTGAAATGAGTCAAGTGTGTGATGTAGCTTCTTAAAAAGCAAATCCAGTCCATGTGAAGATCTTAGCTGTGGTCAGACCACATCTGCTAGGCTTTATTCATTTCTAGGCACCTACATACAAAACTTTGTCAGTCTAGGGAGTTTTCAGAAGACAATGATCCAGATGGTTAAATTGCTGGACTCATGCCATGGAAAAGATGATTGCAGGAACTGGAAATGTTTTTCCTGAAAAAGAAGAAATTTAGCCAGAATATGATGTGGAAACATAATTAGGCGTATTCAATGTAGTCCCAAAGGAAGAACCAGAATAATAAGTAGAACTCACAAAAAGAAAAATCGAGGCTCCAAATCAGAAAAATTTTTTCTGAGGATGTAAACTGCCCATAAACAGAACATATTGCTTTGTAAAACAATATGCATTTTTGCTAAAAACTGTTAAAGACTGGTGCAATGCAGAAAAAATTCCTAGTTTAATTATTAGGTTGAAAAAGTTGATATCTAAGATTGTTTCCAACTTGAAAACATGATAATTACAGCCCCATTACTATATAATCAGTTTATTAAAATATCTCTCTGGTTGGAATGTCATCTAATTGACTCATTATTACCATCAAATTAATCATTCTACTTAACTTTTATTTGCTTTTTCCACTTCTTCCACTCCTCTATTAATTTTTCTATTCCCCTCCACTATTTCCTCTCATCTCCTCTCTTCTGTATTGTTTTCTCTTCCCACATATATGCACATAACAATTTAATAGTTGAGACATACATTGAGTTCATTGTGTACCTGGTACTGTTCTAAGCACTGAATGGACACACACACACACACACACACACACACACACACACACACAGAGAGAGAGAGAGAGAGAGAGAGAGAGACACACACATTTTATATATTACTGAAATGAATCCAAATCACTTTCCATTTCTTTTAATGTCCTGCTAATCAAATGCCTCTCTCTTTAGCAACATTATTTTTTTCCCAAAGCATTCATTACTATACTGATTTCTTCCTATCCATGTCCATGTCTACTTTAACCCATTCCTTTTTATATTTTGTACTCCTATAAATTCTCCCAGTTCTTTGCTCCACAAAATAAAGAAGTACTTGACCTTCAAGGCCAAGAACAAAATTTATGCATTTCCATTCTCAGTCTGGGTGCTTTAGAATACAGTTTGAATCTACTCAGTTCACTTTCTCAGGTAGATTCTAAACTTCTGGGCAATAAATATTGCTCCATTTTCAAAGTATCCTTTGTTTCCTCATAATACATCCCAATTTGTTAGGCATATGTTTGCCTCTATGTAAATTCTTGATTTTTTGACTATTTGGAAATTTTTATACAACTTCCTTTCTGGAACAGCTATTTTAATTATAAGGATACATTAGTGAACAAAACACATAGAGATTCATGCCTCAGAGATCTCACATACTAACATATGGGCAATAAACTCCTCTGAAAGAAGGACTGGTTGAAACATGAGAAGTTTATATGACTTACACGTCTACACTTACACTTATTCTTTTGTTTTATTTTAACCATTAGAAGGATCATATTTATTCTATTGTGTAAGGAAATCAAGCCCTAGATAATCATAACCTTCTCTGATTTCACTAGAATCATGTCCAGTCTAACACAATTCAAAATCATTTGAACATCATTATTGGGGTTCACAATATGAATGGTTTTATTTCTAGTACTAACACAATTCAAAATCATTTGAACATCATTATTGGGGTTCACAATATGAATGGCTTTATTTCTAGTACTACAGTTGGTCTTAATTACTTTTCTCACTCCTGGGCATAATACCGATACCTGCGGTTTAAGTGAGAGGTTTATATTTCTCACGGACACAAAAATTCAAGGCAAACTAAAGTTCAGCCATGACATGGGTATTGATGGCAGTTTTTATATTGGTTTACAGTGAGGAAAAGAAAAAAAGGAATCCCATCTGAAACATTTTTGGTTTCACTAGAAAGGACATGACTGCAAAGTTGGAGCATAGGAGAACATGATTACTGAAAATATTCACATTAAATAAAAGTGAGGCCCTTTGCATCAGGATAATAAGAAAGATTCCTTGAGGGCCACTAAGGAATCAGCAAAACCCCATGATTCACTAGCGCATGAGTATAAAATGGTAAATATGAACTCTTTTGAAATATTTTGCATTAAAGAGAGAGACCCAGAGTGTTCTTCTCAACAAGGGTCACCCAGAAAAATGGTTCACTAGGATTAATTTTACCTTCCCTGTACTCAGAAGACATGTCACATATGACTTAAGGGAACTCAGCTACTGCTTGCGCTAGTGGTACACCTTGGAGTCACTTATATTGTGGTAGTTTTACAAGCTTTCACAACACATGAATTGTGAGGTCGGGGACCTGAGGATCAATGGGAGAACAGAAGATACAGACACAACTACAAATACACTCAGCCACTTTATCTTTAGCAAAGTGTCCAAACATGTTGATTGGAAGAAAGATAGCCTCTTTAACAAGTGATGTTGGAAAAACAGGCTTTTTACATGTCAAAGCCTTAAACTAGACCCATGCATATCACCATGCACTAAACTAAAGTCAAAATGGAAAAAAATATCTAGCTATTAAAACAGAAACACTCCCCCCCAAAAAAGTAATAAGAACTAAGGAGTAATAAAATCCAAAATGTGTAAATTTTGTTGTAAAAAAAAAAAAGAGGGGAAAAAAGAGCTCTAACGGATATAACAGCAAGTGTGTTTGGGGGTGTTAAATGGCTGACTATATTAAAGTTTTTGGATCATTGAACACAGCTGTTTGCAGTCTCTCTGTTTGAATGTCCACTTTGTATTCTTTGATACTGTGATTTGAGCAAATATTTCCAAGATGATAATATGTAATCTATTAACAGGTGATTTCTTACTGTTATTTTTTTTTTTGTAGTTCTGTATTACGTGTACCCTTACACCATTTTGTTTTGTTTTGTGTTTTTCTCTTTTTCCTCTTAAATAAAATAAAAAAATAAAATAAAATAAAACAGAAACACTAAACCTACTGGAAGACCAAGTAGGTGGAAATCTCAAGTACATAGGGGTAGGCCAAGAGCTCATGAACAAAAAACCAAACTGTACAGGAAGTACTACAAGGAATCAACAACTAGAATCTCATCTTGTTATAAAAGTTTTTTGCATATTTAAATAAATCACTAAT